GAGGGTTGGACTCCCGGTAATTTCACTCCCTCAGTGAAAAGTAACCAAAGAAATGAACCAGTTTTCTGTGTTTTTCTTATAAATGTTTATATTGGGTACGTAAGAATAAATAAATAAATAAAGACTAAAATTAATTGGTAATTGATTTGAATAGTCTGTTCATATAAGTAAGATCGTTAATATTTGTATAAAGAAAATAACTGGTATTCGTTTTTTCTTGCTGTATATTGAGAAGCACGTGATTATAACTGATTAAACAGCTTTCCTGTGTTGAGCTTTTTAGTTGACTGATATACAGACAACTAAATTGGACGAATCCAACCACTATCCAAAATGTACACTCAATGAAAAAAGTATTCACTGCTCTTATTTCGATGTCTATTTGACGTGTAAATAAATCAGCGCCATCTTTGGTTATAATGATGTTCTTTTACTTCGTGGTGCAATCTCAATTAGCGAGATGTGTTTCCTCGTTAAAATTGGCAAGCCGTACAGGTGCGTACACGTAATTGATTTGTGTGCGAATGCTGAGAAATGTTTTTGAATTCGGGTGATGGTTGCTGGGAGAGCTGTTAAAATAATTATGAAGAAAGAAAGTTTACTGAACTGAGTTATTTGGTTAAATTGTTTGTTAGTTTATTTGCAGTATGGATGTTTATATTATATGTTATTGACACTTTAATATTTAAGGTATACCAGTTTACGTCAATCATATAAATATCGTGTATTCGAGAAATTTCTTCAAGAAATCTTTAAGAATATATCTCTCTTGTACTTCTTGCTTTAAATTTGTACACATGGTAAGTTTTTCTATGGTAGATATTGTTGTTTTTTCTATTTAATACTCAAGTTCTGTCGTTCCAATAGTTAAAACTTAGAAAACTCAACTACTTTGTGACGGTTCTTTTGAAAATCAGTTCATATAATACGTTCAACCAATCATCTCAATTTTTATAGTAGTTTACTATTAAAAGACTTATTAGTTACGTAAGTCATAAATGAGAAATCATCATCATCAGCCTATCGCAGTCCACTGCTGGACATAGGCCTCTCCCATAATACATAAATGAGAAATATTCTTGTTTATTTATTCGAGTAGCCGCATATTATTCATAAAATATTGCATGCGCCACACATATAGACACATACAACAACACGTGTGTATTTTATCTCACTTGATTACCATAACATGACGATTCTTTTACACCAACAACGCATTACTTGTATTTTTAATATTGAAAATAATCATGGTTTATCCACTAAACATCGCTGGCAGCTGACAGTATCAGGAAGTTTTTGATCTAAGTCATCTTTAAGCCATAGGAATTCTTATTTTAATGATGAACTATATGATCAGGAAATGGTTATTTATAGTTTTTAGTCCTTTATTAATTTGGTCAGACAATTCTGATAATTTAATTTTGGTTTATTATGTCCTTTTATAGAAACTTTTAAGGCATTTTTTTTTCCTTCTTTTGTTGGTCTTGAAACAAACAAATTTCAGTCATTTTTTTTTTTTTTATTTATCTCTTTATTGTACACCATTGAAGTATTATATATACAGATATTAAATATATTTCGGTACAATTTATTACAAAGAACAATGACTTGTGTGCACGTGGACCATGAGCACTCATGGAACTTGGATTTAGTAGCATTGAAACAATATTTTGCGATTAAGGATATTTAACATTTCGTATAGTGTAACCTTATCTAAATAAATATTGCCTATAGCGGCATGATGTGAAAATAATCCCTTAAATATTTCTGTTATTTAAGTAAAAGAAAATTATTTCATTTACGACTAAATACTTACACATACATAAATATATAAAACCGGTTCTACTTTCAACGGTACCATCAAAATTAATCACCTCTGTCTTCACCAGTACATATCAATAACGCAAACCGCTATTATCAGAGATAACGAGGTGCATTTCTTTCTTGCCGCGTAAACACCCGACTATATCAGGAAAAGGTCTGGCATTGTGAAAAAAATTTGATTTGTTACTCACCAACATGAATTCAATTAAATTGAGTGACAAAAATCATGTCGATGTTATTTATTCATCGCATACAATTTAATTTACACCTTTATACTTTAAGTATTAAGTTGATTTCACTACGACGTGTGCTAATAGTGTGACAATCAGAACGAAAAGAGTTAATAATATCAATTAAATCTCTTAAGGCCTTATTGTGTATTTTAAGTGCTTGTACAGTTACGGCGAATTAAAGTTATTAACAACGCAGAGGTCTGGTCCATGGTAGATTAAATTATTATATAAATATGTGAAAACCATATTTTTTAATAAAACCAACTGCAATTACAGTCATAAATAAACATATTTTAAAAGTGTTAAACTAATTATCATTTCTCAGAAGTTGTTAAATGTATGAATTTGTGTAAAAAAATGTGTTTTCACTAATATTTTGTCTTTTTTACTTACAGATTTTGTACATCCTATAATGCGAACCATTATGTAATCTGTAATCATATAATTATAGTAATATAACTTGATCATTATGTGGATATCTCACACACGACCTTCAGGTCTTAAACCATTCAGAGCCTGTACTATTTATGTACTGTACTATTACTTTTATATTTCTAAATTTATATAAATTACAAGTAATTAAACTTAAACAGAAAAATAATCTTGCTCATCTCACAATATTTTTTTACCTTAAGGATTAGTTTGATTTCCTTCGAACCAGAAAAGAATTAGCCGATAAAGTCTGTCAGTCAGATTTTTCATTTCAAAACATAGGGAGCAAACGAGCAGATAGAAAGTAACCTTATCAAAAGTAACTACTAACGCCCATGAACTTAGGAATCACAAGCGCGTTGTCGGCTTTTGAGGAAAGAGAACCTTTGAGAACCCATATTTTTGAACAAACAGTTTTAATTACTTTCTCTAGAAGATTACTTAACAGTTAAAAAATGACTGAATTTTCTAGATGTGATCTCATTTGACTAATCAGTAGCAAACAGTAGTTCACAGTAGCGAGAGACAAATTCTCCTAGTGGTTCATACTGTGCATTACAGTTCAAATAAAATTGCACCTTACAGCAGTTATAATAAGGGAGAAAATTTTAAGTAGTGTTAATGCATTTGTCCCAGTGTGCCTACTCATGAATAATTATGGAACAAAATTCACAGGAAACAAATATTTCGAGACAAACATACTCGCTTCATGAATATTTAGACTGTTTGCTTGTAAACACTGAGTTTTCATTTGTAATGTTGTTTTAGGGAACATGAGATTTCTTATGTTTTATGTATTTTTTATTGTCATGTGTCTAATTTTTTTTATTATCTAATTTTGTTGAAGATTTAATGAATAAACTGGATAAACGTTGGTCTTGTCTTAATGAATATTTAACAAAGTATGTACATGTTTGGGTGTTTTGTTCTATAATTTTTTAAGTGTAATAAAATAATAGTGTAATATATTACCTATATACGTAAGACTGTACTTAGTTTTTATATGAATTTTAAAGAAAACACATGAAATAATATTAATAACAGTCATAAAAATATATAGCCATATAACTAAAATATTATATACTAATATAGGTGCTTTGTAAATGTATTACATTTCAATATTAAAATAAAACAACACAATTTATGGAGGCATCGTTTTTTATTATTTTTTCCTTTCAAATATATTAAAAATTTACTTATAAATGTAAAAAAATCTAAACACGTAGTTAAAAAATATCGTATCACACTGATAACAACAATTATTACGATCCAATTATTGACAACTAACTCAGTACTTGAAGCTCATTAATTTACATATTACTTTTGTCTGTGATTGTACTATTTTGAAATAACAACTATTTAAGTACATACAAATATTGACATTTACACTACTAAAGTAACCATTTCTTCCGTCATGAATATTATTTTTTAACATTAAAAAAATACGTTACAGTAAGGTAACACTGTAACGTTTACTGGCATTTAAGACATGTAATTATTACTCGTATAACATGGCACCAAATCATTTAAAATTACCGATATTGAATTTGAATTTTCAATAATAGATGTTAACATCATTGTCTAAATAGAGTTTCACTATTTGAACAAAATGACCCAATACTGAGACCAAACATTCACCAGATTTTAATGTAAAAATGTAAAAATAAACTGGAATGAGCACGACAGGAATGTTTCATTCTTAAAAATCTCCAACAAAGAAAAAATAACAAATTAATAACACAAGCAAATTCAAATCAAAATTACACTAACATTACACCCTAAAATAAAAACTTAGCTACTATGGAAAAAAATAAACAAAATGACTCAATACAAACTGGCCTAGAAACTAAAGAAATAAATACTTAACTAACAGTAGATAATCTTAACTAGTTTTTACAAGACTTATATTTGTACATTAAAATTTTGAGCTTCATTTTAACTGGCCTTTTATCCCATTAAACATTAACTAGATATGGTAAAACTTACACTGGCACTTATAGTTTGCTGTGTTTAGACATGGTATTTAAAGCGGTTAAAAATATATTGAATTCGGACAAACTGACGGAAAAGTCAGTAATTTTTTGCACCTACTGTTCTCTGTCAGTTTAGCACAGATCACACACACTGATGATTAGCTTAAAATTTACGTATTGTCTCAAAAAATTTTGAAAAACTAAGTCAGTTCTGCAAAAAATAGATTTAACATATTCATTAACCACTAAATCGAACACTTCTGCCAGGAACACAATTCTATATAACATCACACTTGTTATTTTTTATACACTTAACTACTCTGCTTCGCTACTTAAAATTATAAGTCCATGACTTTTGTTATATACTAGCTACACAATAATTATGGTAAATAAGATCAGGTAATCAAGAAGAAAGGAATGTACTCAGCTAAATACTGTATGGCGTGAAAAGAGTATTAACAAGAATACTAAAATAGGTAGTATATACATTTAAATAGATAATTATGGCTGCACACAATCTTACTTAGCTGGTAAGAGTTCAACCTGTCATAGGGACTTCCTCAGTTCGTTTTGGAACAAGTGAAAGGTCTAAAGGATTCTTCATAAGCTCTTTACTATTCTCTTCGCTCAAATCAATGCTTAATTCTGGTTCTGAGTCACTGACTTCATCATTCTTCGGGCTTCTAAATATCATAGCGGTAGATTTTATAGATAGATCTATAGGTTGGTCTTGGTCTACGGCCACTCCTGCTACTGCAGGTGAATGCAAGAGTAAGTCACCTCCATTGCGAGTCTGCCACGAAGCAATTCCAGGTGGTGCTGCTCTCATAGTTTGAATTGGAGTAGGTAGAAATGGTCCACTTCTTGGAGAAAAGCTTGATGGAGCTGAGACGTTTCTAAAAGGTGAGGGTGGCAAGTTTGGCTTTCGTCTCTTATCTTTGCTATGATTTCTAATGGCTTGTAACCGTACGTCTTTATCGCTGCACGGAGATGAAGCAGGCCTGAAGATACTAAGACCGCTAGTACTCCTGGAACTATTGTCATCTTCAGGATCAGCTGATGAAGCGCCGGAATCAGACGGGGACACACTTTGTCTTGTCATTTCTTCGGTAAATGGACTTTTTTCTGAGTTCTTATAATATTCTGCTAGAGCTGCGGCAGGTAATAAATTAGTAGGCAGAAAAGACGGATTCAGTGATGAATTAAAATTAGGCGGTGATTTACTCGATTGTAAATGATGTATATGTTGCTGCTGCTGTTCTTGGAGCAGACAATGGATCTTGAACCAGTTTGATCTTCTCCCATATCGAGAACCAGATTTTGACATGCCAACTAGCAGACATTTCCTTAGCCGACAAGCTTTACACGCTGTTCTATTTTTCTTATTTATTACACATTCTCCATTATTCTTACATTCTGATATAGACGAGAGGTTGTTGTACGTCCGACCGAAGAAACTCTGCAACAAAGAAATTTATAATTTTAATTTTTGAAACTGTTATTGATATCACACTGATATTATTTTATGAAAATCTTATGATATATGTATGTGTAAGAAAGGGCATTCGATTTTCTCCAGAAAACAAGAACGCCAATTTTGGCATACACCCGACACATTAATTTAGTTTAAGATATCGACAGACTTCCGTCGGCATCGCATAAGAAACAACGATTTATAAGCGATACAGTTAAAACGAATCATCCGTGGGCCCATTCAATTTGGTCCGTCCCTGCATGGAATTAAAAATTACATTTTTCAAAAAGTCATCATAAAGAGCAGTGCGAGGCGTATTAAAATCTGGGTCAACGTGAATAAGGTTGTATCTCACACTTAATATTACAGAATTGAACATGGCTCGGGTACTGTTGCATCTCGGGACGTAAGTAATGGGGGTCCCTTGCAATTTTTTTTTTGTAAATAAATTTGGAAGTTACCCCGCTGCGAGCGGTTTCAAGTCTCTTCTTACTCAATTAAACTCGTACAAAAGCGTAAAATATGTGATTGTGCTACAGTTTCACTCGATACCGCCATCCGCTTGGCGTACTTTCAGCAGTAAATAACGATGTTGCTCATTATTTTGGATTATAACAATATTTTGGAATGCAAAATACGTTTACTTATATTGTTTATATTCTCCTCGGTTGTGAGAGTTTGAATTTAAATATAAAAATTAACTTTCCGATTAGGCCCAACTGGAAATTCGAATTTTAATTAAAATTAAATCCTGCAAAAAGTTATTCCTTTAGCGTATAGAATTTTATCTGTCCGAGCAATCAGCTTAACGAAGTCTGACATAAAATAACAGACAAGGTCGCTACAAATTACAATAATCAAGATGTCATAGAAACTGTAACAAGACATTTTCGACACCCAAAGATAAACATTTATGGCTAGGAAACCGGTATTTGGACCAAAATTAAACTGTGTTGGCACGTATTCCATCTACGCCAAATGAAGTTACTACTGTCATATATTTTCTAAGTCACGATGAAACACAGTGCCCTTTTTGACTTGGGGCGAGCAAATTGAGGTAATTTCGCGAACGCATGTATGTGAGTCACTAGATTAGAAATTTCAGATAAGTCTCACTTCCTTATGGGCAAGCCGCGATACAGATTGTGTTCTCTAATTGAAGCTCGTTGCGTAGACGTACGTGACTCGATTACTCCTGTTATGTGAAATAATCATATAATGGGCATTGTCCATTTTTTGTAAAGTAATTGTATTTTTAAACCGACTTCAAAAAGACAAAAGAGGAGGTTATAAATTCGTCTGTATTTTTTTTTCTGTTGAGTTTTACTTTACAGACAGTGTTTTGTTTTTATTAGCAACATAATATCGTCCGAGTAAAAAAATTAAAGCAAGGATTGTTAAAAATGTATAGTCTTAGAAACAGATACTTTTATCACACAGTTAATTTTGCTTGTCTAAAGAACATTATAGAAGCGAGGATATTAAAACGTCGACTACTATTACTTTATGTTGTTATGTACTAATGATGAACAAAATATACTATTATTTCTATTATTGTGGCGAATTTCATTATAAAAAAAACTTTAATACCCTTTTGTTTCTGTGTATATATTCCCTCGATTACCACCCACCGGTGGTTATGTCGGACTCTAACCGACCAAAGATGACCCATTTGTGTTGGGAACCACTTTGTTCCCGTTCTACAAACAAAAGGGCGCCAGCGCCAGCGATAACCCGGCCTGCTTTTGCTAGGGTGACAGAAGGCCTCACCTGTCACCCCCATGCCTATCTTCATCGCCCCTAAATACTAATTAAGTAGCAGTTACTCAGTTCTTATGTAGGTTATATGTTTTTTTAAATGAACGGTATGAGTTCATTTATTAAACAATAACCTAATATTTCTTGAGTTCGACAACCCTAGCCCCATGAAATGATACAAGTTTGAAATTATTATCAATAAATAAAAACCGAATCAATGATTTCCATATGGGTAGAGTTGCAGATAACTTAGCGATATTAGCCCACACATTTATTCAAATCCGTACCGACAGGTGGCGCCTTTGTCATTATGACATTTTAAGTTAAGAAAACATAAATCATGGTAATGAAAATTTATGTATGTAAGTTTCCTATTTTGGTAATAAAATAGGCTTAATGGATGGGGTGGCACAATAAATAGGCTTGTTCAGTAGTGTACCTATACTGAAGAGGGTTATATACCCTCCTCTGGATTAACAATAGGTTGGTTAATAACTTATGGAATTCGAAAAATAAATCAGTTTGAGCCATAGATCAAATACGAAAAAACAAACATTTATGCGAAAGCCACAATCAACTCCGTCCCACAGACAAATTAAGCCTTAAACGCTGACAAGCTAAAGTGCATTCTCATTTCAACATAACAAACCATAATAAGATTGACATTTAATGCCCCCTATAATTTATGTGAGGCCACACGTAAGCTCCAGATCCACAGATTAACCGGACACATATGCAAATGACTTGTTAAATCACCAAATTGAGTAATCTCAGTGATTTATGTAAGATTACGTTCGTGAAATATGTAGCGGGATGACGGTATTATTTAATAAGTAGTCTCCACGTGTGGTAGATAGGGAGTAACTGGAATCTAGGGGCTGCGTCATACAGCGGACGGCACTGTACAGTCGGCGTGAGTTGTAATGTTCTTTCACAATAACATATACGCTCACACTCGCATCTTTTATCTTAGAAGAGGTAGAGAGAGGTGTATTAAACGCCTATAATAATAATAATAACCTCACACATCACACACATGGCTGTCTGATCCCAAACTAGGCAGAGCATGTACTATGGTAACCAGACTGCTGATGAACATACCTATATAATATATTTATAAATACATATATGTTATAGATAAATTACACCCAGACACAGAACAAACGATCGTGCTCATCACACAAATATTTGTTCTGGGTGGGAATCGAACCCACGACCTCCGGTTTAGCAGTCAGGGTCACTAACCACTAGACCGACAGGCCCGTCTTATATTTGAGGACTATGATTTTAGTCCCACACACGCAATAGAAGGCAAGTATATTGACGAGTGCATTTACTTCTAAAGAAACATACTTAACTATACCTAACCTACTACCATATTATATATAATTATACCCAAATAGAACAAATGATCGTGCTCATCAACTGGGAATCGAACCCACGACCTCTGGCTTCCCGGCAACGCTAACCTACTGTCTCGCCCGTAATATACTAGTTGAGCACTTTGCCAATGCCATGCTGATATAATTCAACCAATCGTGCACCTCGCAGGTCCATCGCGCCCCGCATATTGTCTAACAAGGCCTTACAAGCTACGGTATACAAATAAGGTGGTAAACAAGCACATGATATGACAGAGTCGTCAATGACTTACGTCTAAGATTGATGCTTCACAACGTTATTTGAATTCTGTCTCCATCTTTAAGCCAGCTTTAGATGGAAAATTAAAATCATTTTTATAATCAACTGTGAAATAGAATAAGTTGGTAAATGTAATTAAAATAGCATTGATTTTAATCCACCGAGTTTTTTTTTGTATTAAGTAACACTGGTGATGTTATCTTAATGTAAAGCAGAATAGTGCACCAGAATCATAATGATATTGACAGTTAAATTTATCAGTGATCCGTAGATAATGCAACGGTTTTAATTAAAATTGTGACACGATAAACATCACCTTATTACACAAAACTCATCCAATTTCTAGTTTCCACAGCTATTCTTGGAAAACGATACCTTAGCTGTGGTTTCCCTTTCAAAAAGTGATAACAATCTTAAATTAAATCAATGGTTTTCTTTAAACTTTTATTCTTACATTATATGAAGATGTATCAAGAATTGTGAATGAGGAGTTGAATCCGTGTGGTGACGGATTAAGAATACAGAGTGTCACCACCTCTATTCATCCCGTGGGTGTCTTAAGAGCCGACTAAGGGAGCAAACTCTCCAGGACAGCAAAGAGAAGAAAAACTTGAAATAAACCCTATACCAACCCATCTGGCTACCGTGGCCATTTAACGGAAACTATAAATACTACTTACAGTTACAGGTTTCGTACAGTTTTCAGTTCAGAAAACATAATGAAATTCTTGATACATCATCATCATCAACAGCCTTTGATAGTCCACTGCTGGACATGGGCCTCTCCTTAGAAAGGGGTTTCGGCCAGTATAGGATTTGTTTCAAGTTTTCCTTCTTTTTGCAGTGCTGGTGTCCTGCGTTGTTTAGCGCCCTTAGTAGGCTCTTACGACACCCACGGGATGAATTGGGGTAGTCACATTCCGGACTCTTAATCCGTCACTAAACGGACATACATTTTATATTTACATACATGATATTTTAGACTATTCCATATTAATAAAAATACTAGCGACGTCGGTCTTAGATTTCTAGTATTCTTTTCTAATCTTAGCCAAAGCAAATATTTGTGTTAGAAGTGAATAGACAGTCCATGACTTGACCGTAAGCCGCACTTCTTAGTAACAATTAAACTATACATCCTACATTCTGTTTCATAAGATATCAGTGACAGACAGAAGACAAGGTTCCCTAAAAACTATCAAATAATATAATATCGACATCTCCATTTAACGAAATAAAGAACCGTTATGTTTTATCATAAAAAAATCTAGCAAAAGAAATATATCTGAATGCAAATCTATGAATGACAAATGTTTAAGGAATTTTGATTCCCGCGTAGGTGGTTCTCAAGTTCCCACGGCCTATGCATAAAATATATATCCATGATACATACTTATAACTTTCTTGTACAGCGACAATATACTGCTGACTCGGCGATGTATTTTATTAAGATT